ATATGTACTTACAGCACCTACTTCATACCAATTATTTTAAACATATTCAGGTGAGCGATACAGGCCCTCTGGGGCTCTTGTTAATGAATATAGATGTTGTATGTACTTCCACTTGCTGTTACCTTGCTATCCCCATATTCATAGTTCGTTCCAAATGTCCAGTTTGACCACTTGGAATTGTTCAGGAAAGCCCTGTTAAAAATAGCGCCTGGCGGTTTTGAAACGAGGCAGTAAACACAGGTGGTCTGAACAAGATCCAAAGGGATCCCCAGAGAGGGGCCGTCATGCAACTGCAACTTCTTACCGCACTATGAAACCAAGTTATATGATTTCCAAGTCTGTGTTGAAACTTATTGAACCAATAATTATTCATCATCAGAAGTTAATTGCACACATGCCAATATTCAGAATTTAAATGAAGAAGTATTTGTTGGCAACTCGGCAGTATTTATAGACACCAGGACATATAGATTTATTACCGGAATGTGACTGGTACAAATGAATGGAACGGGGTTAAACACCTTCCCTCAACCAAGGGACAAATTAAACCTTTCTGTAAAAAAGAATATTCACGAGATGAATATCCCTTTTCAATTGTTTTCATATGCATTGACAAGTATATAAAAAAGAGAAACGGTTGTGATTTTTTTTTTACATTGTACAACTCAATGTCTTTGGCCACTTTTTTTTTCTAGACCATGCATATACATTTATGTATATTCTCTGTCCCACTTTCACTGTCTTCATACGCTAACACTTAAAAAGTCATATTAGCTAAAACCACTACATGAACATGTTTTCAATGCGTATTCCGATTATATCTGAAGTCAAAAATTAATTATTTATAGAAAAAGTTGTTGCATGATCATACATTCTAAGTCAACATCATGTGAAAACATGAACTGTTGAAACATAACAATTTAAAAAATATTATGTTATGCGATCCTACCCAGTGGGCAAGTGACGTTACAACGTTACGTTAGACCCTTAGACGTTGGATTGACGTTCGATTTTGGTTGAAAATGAAAGTTTTTTAGACGTCAAAACCTGACGTTGTATAGACGTCAACGTCAGAGTCCCAACGTCAGAAACCTGACGTCTAAGCAACGTCTTACATACCTAGAACAAGCCTGACCTTCATGTAGCTGTTTATTTAATTATCTTTTCAGGATTCTGAACAGGCAAGTGTGGATATCATTTTTTTTTAATATTTTGACACCCCTTTTACCAAGACGTTCAGCCAGTTATCCCACACACATACAGGTTTGAACCCACAAAAAAAACATTTTCTGAATCCCAAGCAATAATACAGATACAAAATAAACAAAAAAACACACAAACTGCATTGTATGTTATTATTTATTTTGGTCTCCCCCCTCCGCCGTGTTGATCTGGTGTATATTTTAAACAATATGCGATTGCCATATCTACAGCATGCTCTGTGGCATCTCTCCCCGTTGGTGTGTTTAGGGCACTTTCTGCAATTAAAAAAATACAAAAATATTTATTGCTTTGTGTCTACAGAGTATCATTTTGATTGAAAGAAATTATTTATAACAATCATATTCTCTTAAGGTCCATATTTAAACCAATTTATGTTTTGGAGACACATTCAAGTAAAACGTACCACGTACGTATCTACAGTTAACTCATTGCGCCATGCATATTGATTAGGCCTAACGTTACAGTCAAGTATATTGTTTACAATAATATTCTGACAACGATTGAATATTTAGATCAACAAAAATGGTAAAGTTCACTTTTTGCATTGTTGACATACCTGGTTTCGTTCACAAAACTTCTTCCAGAGACAAACAACGTGGTAGATTTGTTAAAAATTGAGATGTTCTCACTTCTGCCGAGTGCTCAGTTGGCGGTCAGTTCAGAACAAAGAAACAGGATGTTGTTCGAAACCCGCTTTTTGTTTAACATAATTATTTTTGTTAAACGGTGAGAGATCGTGTTGAGAAAAGATACACTTGTGTTATAAAAAAACACGATTTTTAAGACTAAATTTATCACACATAGCTCCGTAATTTCGAAAAAAGATAGTTTTCGAAATTCGTCCCATGCAGCGCCCTCTATCGAAAATGTAAAATCATACATTGAAGGGAGATAATCGATGAATTCAATGGATCGTTTTTGCTCGTTGCAGAAGGAATTCCATTACGAAAAATAACCTTTTTATAGACAGAAATGTAAATGAATATCAACGAATGTATGTGTTTTGATATGTACCGATTTTTTTAAGACACGGTCGTAATTGGGATCTCTAAACTACGTCGACAAGACGTCAGATCCTGACAAGAATACAACGTCTTGCTTTAGACGTCGTATAGACGTTGGATCTAGGTCGTCGACGTCGCGACCTGATCATGAACACAACATTAATCCAACGTTGATCCAACATCATGTGTTTACTGGGTATATACTATAAGTAGGTTCTCCTTCCTCAGTTATTCATCCTGAACCGTCATTTTGACATATATAAATTAAATCTTGCATGTAAATAAAAAAATCGTTTACTTCAGCAATATAAATATAATTAAATCATACCATTTTACTGAACCCGGGAATATTATATATTATGTAAATCTAATAGCGCACGTATCTCATTTGACCCCGAGTACCGACAGAGGAGAGTAACAGAATACACCGTAGCTATCACAACATTATCCCTTGGAGGGCTTCATAGCAAAATCAAACTAACCAGTCACTTATCCCTTCCTTTCGCACAAACTACTGTATATAAAAACACAAAGTAAACTCTCTCTGATACATGCCAATTAACATAACAAAATAAGTTCATCTGTGTTCCAACTCAGATAAAGATACTGGCGAGGTTGATAGTTTTAGATATTTATTTATAACATAAACAGCAATTTTTGTCCATTCCATTTCAGCTTTAACCGGCTATCCGGAAGAATACATGCACCGTACTAACTGCTAGGGCAGTTATTTTCTCCTTTGAATACTTCCCACCTGCAATAATGATTCCGTAACGTAATCCTTGCGATATCTTTTGACCATTTGGCATCTTTTTGCTTCGTAGCTGACGCGGTAACGGTTTCTTCACACGGCTAGACATTTTGTTTACAAAGAAATGGTGTGCTATACGCATGCGCTAGTAGAGGGAAATTCCTGAACAAAACGTTGGTCAGACAGGTAGAAATTCCGACGCTTATCTTAAAATTATTCATTTTTTTTAATATTTATCAGCCAAATCCGATCATTATTTTCCATAAGGAGACTCACTTGATATGTTTATGTAGTATTTGGAAAAAAAGAAAAAAAATATTCACTTCACCGTGATGCCCCTTTAACATATTTATTCTTCTGAATGACTTGAAGTCAATTAAGACACTGATATTTTGCAATTGTCCATAGCTTTATTTTAGTCCACTTTTAAGCTAACAATTGAAAGATTAATACCAGGTGAGCGATGCAGGCCCATTGGGCCTCTTGTATAAGTCATACCACATGTAAAACCTGGATAGCTTTGCTTGAATTTATTCCCATTCAAATCAGACAATAAAGTGCAAATTCTCTTGCAAATTAAAATAAATTGGCATAGACCTTTCATTCACCCACATGTACATACACTGTGGACGTTGTATACATTTGTAAAGAAGATAACTCTTTTAGTGCCTCTAATATACAGTAGAGGATTACAGTGCATTACTATGTTTTCAGAAAGAAAATCTCCAGAAATTTAGTGTGAACAGACAGAGACAGTGATTTCTATCGGGCCCTTATTAACATGGATTTGAAATTTGCTAGTAGATGTGTTAGTTTTGAACCTTGATAATCCTAATGTATTTGTTTTGTTTTAATTAAAGGCACACAAATATGAAGAAAACCAGCAGGTTGAGATATCCACACCAAGTCCTGGGCAGACTGAACATTTCTCAATATATGATGATGACAGCAAGTCACAGTTTGAGTTTATTGAAAAGTTGTTCAATGACAGACACAGAGAACAAAATAAAGAGGTATGTACTGTACTTCATAAACTTCAATGACAGTCACAGAGAACAAGATACAGAGGTATGTACTGTACTTCATAAACTTCAATGACAGTCACAGAGAACAA